ACTCCATTGGTTGATGATCATTTTCCATAATTTTCCCATTGAATGGCCACAACTTGGGGTCCCCTGTTCTCAGACAACCCCATATGTCAGGGTGAAAGGTGGAATTATGGTTTGTCCAGAAATGATGGTATAGAACCAAGCATGATAGCGATATAGTGAGAATATCATGGGGTTATACTATGGAGATATATTGGTAATACTGGTACAATATATACTAGAAATATACTGAGAGGAATAAGGTGGATATACAAGCGACAATATCATGGTTGGTTTTTTTTTCACATAATGGGGAATATACCCACATATGGCGATTAAACAATGTAATATTATAGAATATATATATATATACAGTATATAGTATACAGATACATCATATTGAATTATGTATACACAAATGTATATATGTAAAACTAGGTTCTAAGTGGATTTAACGGATCATATACAGGAAACGATGGTTTTCACCCACCAGATAAGGGGGTTTCCTATAGATGTTCCCTCCCAATTCTGAGACATCTAGAACGAATCGCACAAAAAGGAAAAGACAAGATGTCTACACAAGACACCTCAAGTTTGGAAGGTTGTGTCATCTTTTCACGATAATAATCAATCTCTCTTGTTTCGAACGGGATTGAATTGTGGCCACTGCAACTGGGATGTAGCATGGCAACAGCAAAAACATCCCCATTGGATCACCCAGCAGTGTGGCTGAAAAATTCCGACTCAAACGAATTTCGGCACCCTAGGTATACCCGGCCTGGTAAACGTTTACATAGCTATAGAAAATCACCATTTTCAATGGGAAAATATGGGAAAATCAACTCTAAATGGCCATTTTCAATAGCAAACTGTTAGTTTACCGGAGGGTAGCACGTCCGGAGGCCCCCGACGTTGCCGCCGCTCTCATCTGTGGTGCGACACCTCAGAGGGACACAACCCTCCGTCTCGGAAACTCGAAGCCATCAACATTTGGAGGTTTCCGAAGTCATGGGGGTACCCTCCCGTAAACTAACAGTCATGGGGGTACCCTCAGGATAGTAGAGACTGAATTTTTTGGAGGGATGCCTTGTAATGATCTTCATCTACCCTCCGGTAAACAAAAAAAAAACTATTGAAAATGGCCCAGTCGAAATAGTGGATTTTCCCATTGAACATGGTGATTTTCCATAGCTATGTAAACATTTACCAGCGGGTACCCCAAATCATCAAAACATCGACCATTAAAACATCTTAAAACCCATGACTTGCGGATCGACCATGACTTGAGAAACCCCATTTGGTTTTAAGTTTTTCCCCCAAAATGTCAGACGCTTCCTTCATCAGCACCACATACATATGACTTAGCTGTGACCACGGCGTTCCATGCAGGAACACATATTCTAGCACCATCGGTCCTGCCTTCAACGTCCACCTGTACTAGCCGCATTCCAGATGTAGCCTGGGCTCGTGGCTTCTGAAGCCATGCTTTCTTGACTCCGGCGTGTTCACTGAAGATGGCCTTAGCAGATCCGAGAACTGGCAGGACGGAGATGTGGGATGTGATGATAAGGGGGATAAGTGAAACCACCCATTGCATATGTACGGATACATAAATAGACAATTATATAAACAAATAGAATAAAATAATTAGAATAAATAAATAAAATAAGTACACATGTATATATATATATGCATATGGATTCATTTTTGAGAACATGATCCCCCGACATGATGCGGCTCAACATATATTTAGAGCGGATATATGGACCGGTCATAGCCATAGCCCAAACGGTTGGACGGTCTCCATTGACTTGATCCCAGGCCAGCTTCTATCGATTACCCGGCCTGGTAAACGTTAACAAAAAACTGATGGGAAAATCATCACCATGCTATTCTTATGGGTAAATCCACTATTTCGACTGGGCCATTTTCAATAGCTTTTTGTATGTTTACCAAAGGGTATATGATGTTGTATGATGTTATATGGGTATGGGTCAAGTCATTGGGTGACCCATCCAAATTGGATAATTGGATGGTGAATACATGTCAATACTAAAAATAAAAAGATAGTTCAATTCCTGTGGTCCAAAAGGTCGAAACCATTGACTGACCCATACCCATATAGTAAAAAATATACAGAATCAGCAATTTCAATGGTTAAATCCCCCCACACCTTGGGGGTCTCCACGGTCTCCAACGCCAAGAAACGTACAAGTCGTCTTGGTTAAGATCTTGAGGCACGCCACCCACGAACACCTGCGGAGTTGAGGTAGTAAAGAGGATCCAGCATCCCCAACACCATTTTGATGGGTGGTACGTTTACCATCACAGTGTGGGTGGTTAACATGACATTGCTTTACTAACATGAAAACAGGCTTTCTGGAGGATATACTGTGAATGGAAGTTAAATCCTGCAGTTGGTAACTATTATATATAATAACTATGAAAAACTGTAAATCATGGATTATAATTGGATGCGTTCCATCTACCAACTCATGCAGGATTTCTTTCATCCACCGTATCCACACTGCATCACTGGACCTCGACCCTGAAGAGAACTTCCCTACATGGTTCATGATTTGCTCGATTGGAGCCTGAACACTGTTAATATCTCAACGTTTAAAGCACATGAGGTGAGGTTGAATGTGTCTTTCGCAAACTTGGAAAATCTCTCAACTTAAAATTCATTAAAATTCTATAATCATCCATGCATTGAATACTTAGATACTAAACATGTCGAATCCAAATGTACAGGAATGACTTCAGACCTGAGATACATACACTCCAGAAAAAGAGTAACATAGCTATGAACAATCACCATGTTTATCAGAACGGTAAGTCATGGAACTAAATGGGTCATAGAACCTGTCTGAAAATATCTGTCTGCTCATTTTCACCACAAATAGGTGGTTAAGATAAGCCCATTATTGGTTAATATGGGGTTATATGACATATAACCGCCATTGATGATATACAAACCTGAAATATTCTGTGATTTTGCAGTGATCCCCTTACAGTCGCCATCATCCACAGAGCCGTGGGCGAGTCAGCGCGTTATGGTTCAACGAGATATATCTCCATATTTTGTTTGCAAAATCACCTCTTCCTCCCCTTCTTTTTTTTTGTAAAACCCCATTTTGTGGCTTAAATATGATTATATCGATGTTTTTGATATTACATCATCCATTTTCAATAGGATTTTCCATGAAATACACCATCCATTTGGGGGGGTACCTCCATTTTTTGGGACACCTCCATATTGTTGTGGGTTAAATATGCTTAAATTTCAAGTTGTTGTTGGTCAAAACATGTGCCCCAGCACCTTACGGTCCTGGGCCATGGTCGCGCAGCGGGCAACACCTGCCAGACGCCATGAAAAAAAACGTATGGTTCTATGTTATCTAATATTGCGTATACATAATGTAATGTACAATTCAATGTATGATGTGTATATATATATATATATGTGTGAATCCTATCTATAATATTGTGCATGCATGTTATATATATATATATACATTACATTGTATATATATATATATATTAAATATATATATATATATATACAACGTAATCTGATGATATCTGATGTATAATGCATACAGCACACACACATATATATATATATATACATATTTATTGCGTAACATAGTCTATTTCACATATCATCTCTAAATATCTTTAGTATCATATAAATCACAAAAATTGAGTGTGTATGTGTGTATATACATATTCGGGGGAAAGGTAAGCATGTCTCAAATATCTATGTCGTCCATTCTTGATGAGATCCACTCAAAAGATCCTAGGTATAGATATAGGTATCTTGCCCTCCATAGACCGACCTGTTGAGCGATTCAAGAAACCGGTAAACTGGTCAAGATGGTGAGCGTATATATATATATAATGTAATATATATATAATATATATATATTATATATATACACATGCACGTGCATACCTCATGACATGATACTTCTACATACATGTACATAGACATGTATAGGTAGTGCATGGCACAGCCAACCCCGAGAGGATACAGGAGATTTTTTCCACCCGTCACTGAACCACTGGACCCCCACCTGCAGAATCGCTGAAAATTCTGGAGCGTTTTGGAGCTGCGAAGGAATTTGAGCAAAGTCCCTGCAGAAAGCCACTGAAAATCCTGGAGACGACCCACCCCTTCGCCCACGAAGGATTTATTCAAATGGCTGATCACACACCAACAACCACTAATAATAAGTGCTTATTAACCATCTAGTATTGTCTGGATAATTATACTGTACAGTGTGTATATATCTATATATATATAAAGAGAGAGATGCAGAATACCGCAGGTAGATCAATGAGTTATCAGTGATATATGGCCTGTGCTTGGGGTTATGAACCACTAGCTGGGATGCAACCCATGATAAAAATTGTGAAAGGACCAACTCTTGCAACCCAGGGGTCAGACAAATCCATCCAGTACTTCTCATCTGTGGTCGAATTAAAGATCATGGATACATATACAACAACAAAAAATACTTTGGTATATTGCAACTGTATAAAGCACAGACTCTTTAAATCTATATCCATATAACATGTATATGTATATATATATATAATTTAAGGTCTCGGTTCAAGCATTTTGACCCCACGTGACCGTTCCCGTCGTGGCAATAGACCTTAGCAGTGTGACTACCTGTCCACACTGCGGGCTCTTTCTCAGGGCCCTATTTGCAATTTGGTGATCAGCCTGGTTTTGGGGGGCATTGACTTTTTCTGCTCCTGACCTCCTGAATCGCCGCTTGCGACAGGTTTTGTGCTAGGTGTCCCGGCACCTCAAAAATCCCGGGTTTCCAATTAGAATTGGACAATTTGGTTAAGATTGGCCTTGGGTTTAACCTCCACTGGGTTTCTGCGGTGGCCCTATACACCTGTTCCTGGGTTACCCTCGGCAGACTACAGATTTTCTTATTTCAGTTTTGATTTGACAATACATGCGATTGTGCTCACTGATTTTTGCTTGTGCCTTGCTTTGTGAGAACTTTGTGAACGACGGCCACTGTTTCGACCTTGCGCAGAAAGACCAGACGCTGGCGTGCAGTGGCAAGACACATTTGGTGGCTCCATCGCACCCAACAGCAAAGGAGTTCTGTATCTACGCTTCGGTGGATCCTGCAAGTGATACAAGCTCACCACTCCAACGACAGGCACTTTACAGCCAAGGTCAAGAGAGAGATCGCAGCCATGACTCAGCAGCAGAAAAACTCAGGCTGGCTTTGCCTGTGGTGCAGGGTCATGAATTGGAAGCATGCATTATGCTGCCACCGTTGTGGCGGCAAATGGTACGAAGTTGGGGAGGACACAGAAGATGGCAACCAAGCCTACGCTCAGTGGCATCAGAGCCCACGAAGGCGGCAGGCTCCTGGGGACAACCATCAGAGACCGAAGTCGCCCCGACCCAAAGGCAAGGGACGTGGTGGCTACACCCCCAGTCCAAGACCGAAGCAGAATCGGCATCGCAGGGGCAAGAAGACAGCAGACACATCGGCCCTTGCAGATGCCCAACAAGCGAAACCTCCTGTGCTTCCAGAGGTTGGCAATGGATCGACTTCTTGGTTGGCACTATTGCAGATGCAACAAGCAGCAAACCAAGCAGCCCAAGCCTCGCAGGAAGCCTCCAATGCAGCACCATCTACTGCACCGCCCCAGCAGTCCGCTGCAATGAGACAGCTGCTCACATCGCTCAAGAAGGACCAGGAGAAGTTATCGCCGGAAAACCAAGAATTGGTCAAGACTCTGACCGTCAAGGAGGAGAAAAACGAAGAGAAAGAATTGCAGATTGCTGCAAAGGACATGGGAAAAGCTCGCAGAGACCTGCAGGAGGCCTTCGAAGCAAGGTCCAACCTTCATCACAAGTGGAGGACGTTTCTGTCCATGAGTGTCGCGCAATGGCAGGCCTTTACGACAGAATTTCAACAGCAGGAATCAGCGGCCAATCTCACTATCCAAGCAGCCAAGGACTCGCTGGCCTTGGCCAAGCAGAATCTCGAGACCTCCAAGGAAGCGTTCCAATCCCCACGAGATGTTCGCCAAGTCTCGGAGGTCCACGATGTCATGTCAGACGAGGAAACTCAGGAAGATCAGGGAGCTCAAAAGCTGCAAGAGGGCTTGCAGAATTTGACAACGTCCCTCCAAGATCTTCACAAGGCTGCAGAAGATGCGATTGCAGTCGAGAATGCCTCGAAGAAAGCAAGGCTCAGCGACGCAACAGATGTGTCGGGGCTTCCAGGTGGCAAAGCTTTGCAGCCTTTTGGTGTGCCCGGTACTTCGCGACCCTAGAGTGCGAGTACCAAGGGCGGGCACCCATTTGTTCTGATGTTTTCCAGATGAAGTGGACGCACCGTATTCTTTCTGAACCGGATTTTCGCACAGAATGGCATGCAAGGGCTGCGGCTGTTCGCCTTTCATTTGAATGCGATACCATATCTGAAAGTTTCACTTCTCGGAAGCCATGGACACAAAGTGACAAACACCCACACTACCGGGTGCATTTTGATGACTCTTTCTCCTTGCTTTGCAGTGATCCGGAGGCCGGGATTTGCTCCATTTTTCATGGCAAACATGGAGATGTTCAAACATTTATCAAGCAATTTCAAAACACAACCCTTTTGGATGATGATCCGCTGTCGAATAGTTCGGCCGTGTCGATCTCCCAAAGGGATGACATTCCTCAGGATGAATGCAATTTGATGCAATTGGCTACCCACATGGCCTCAGGGATTGTGACTGCCAATGAGCCTGGTGTGCCAGTTTGGTACCCATTGCCTGACCGCGGAATGCTGCCGGCAGATGATCATGACATGGACCAAGCTTCTGATGACTCTGATGGAGACAGATCTGATGAAGACCCTGGAAGAGACGAGGATCCTGTTGATCCTGATTCTCCAGATGATTTGATTCATCCGCCATCTGAGAGCAGCGACCGTCAATCAGCATTGATGTACCATCTTGATGACCAACCCATTCATGCAATGCTGTTTTGGACAGATTTCGAACGTCTAATGAGTGAAATCGCACGGCACTATCAGATTCACAGAGAGGCACTTTTTGATTCCTATGAACTCAACATGAGACCAAAGGATATCCCACCAGGAACGGCGCCACTTTTGGTTCACTTCGTGAATGATTTTCCGCATGGTGCCAATCTTGTGCTAGCTCTTGTTGACATTGAATTGCATGGCAATGAATGTGAGACACACTTTCAAACATTTCCTGACCTGCAACGTAGAGTGATTCCAGTCCCTGGCCGGCTCACCCGGGACGTGCTCCTTCGTCTTGCAAAGGTTTTGGATTATTGTAAAGTTGAACATGAGCGCTGCCTTGTCGAGGTCAATGCGGTCCCATGGAATGTTCAAAATCGTTTGCCAATTGACATGCAACATGGTGACTACATAAGAATCCTTATTCCACCTCCGACTGATTGCAGGGTTGGGACACAAGAAATGCTGAATGACAGCCATCATTTGACAGTTGAGGACTTCTGGGGACGGTATTATGTGCCATCGAGCCCGGAAGATGCATCGGGTTCTGACCATTCTAGTGTCTCGCCAAGCCTCATCGACTCTGAAGCAATCAAGAGAGAATTTGGCCCTCACTCAGACACTGACCAAGATGACCATTCACAAATGCAACTGCCAAATGCGCCGGCCGCAGCTTCTTCCGATAACAATGTGAATCTTGCACAACAAGTTGAACAAATTGTCAATAGCTCTTGTTTGCTTGCTTTCAACATTGAGGAAATTTGGTCATGGCCGTTTTGGTACAGAGGACTTTTCACCACCTTTGGTCAGCATGCAATTGTTGAAAACGACAATGAAGGTCCTGTGTGCTACTATGACACGTGGTATGCTGACTGCAGAGAAGAGTCGGTAACAGAAGTGTCAAGACCATTGCGACTTGACTCCATGCACAATTTGTGGCAACATGACATCCAACACCTTTGGAGAGACAAAATCCAAGAGGGAATCCCCATACATGTTGTTTGGGTCATGCCAGCGCCACCACCGCAGCCAATGTCTAGGTCAGCAGGTCACCTGATCATTTATCAATTCCCGAATGAGAGACTTGTCCCTTTTCTCACGACCATTCAGTTTGTTGCTTTGGAAGATCATGGAACCACAATTGCATGCGTTGTTGGTGACCCTTCTGCCACTCCTGTGGCGATTGTCCAGCGGCTCAATTTGGACAGGGTTTGCAGGGGACGCCTATGCACATTGCACAGAGGAGCCATTTCAGGAGGCATCAGACACACATGGACGATGCCCATTGTGATTGGTGAGAACTTGAGGTTAGTTATCCCGCCTTTCGGTGCAAGAGCCCATATTGACATACTCTCATATCCAAATTGTGTGGAAATTGTTCAGACTGGCCCCATTCCAGATGCTTTTGACATTTCGATGCGTTTGGAAGATCATTCTGAGTTCACTCGTGAACTACATGAATACTGGACTCAATTTTCACGCCGAGGACCAGCCGGTCTGGAGATGTTGCTTGAAATTAACACATGGTATTTGGATGCTCAATTTGTTCCTTTCAACGAACAGTCTCGTCCTGTGATTCTTGGCGAAGACTTCTTTCAGTGGGAACAGCAGATCAGAGAGAAATGGGCAGACCTTGCAGATGCCAGTGCAGACATTACATTTGTTTTTGTCCGCCCAACGCCCCCAGGCTGGCCAATTGACCATATTCACGTTCTTGCGCTTCAGCAATTTGAACCTGGCTCCACAGGCATTGGAGGACTAGTCACCATCTATGACGAGGCTTTGGGAAGGGGTGCGCCTTCCACCATTGCCACAGTGCTTCCAAGGGATCTCAACAGACAGAGACTTGTGGACGCTTCGGGTCGACAAGTCTGGCCAGGTCATAGTTGTAGTGCTTGGTTTGAAGGTTTTGAAATAAGGGATTCAACCGTTTTTCAGGCATCTCATGGGCAATCCTTTCTTGTACAGATCTCCAGACCTCAGCTTCAATCATGGGACCAACCTTTGCCAGCAGAAGATACCAATGCCCTTCTACAGCTTAGGGTTGAGTCCGTCTTGCCAGCGGTGACATCAAATGAAGTCAGGCCAGTTGCCAAAGTGCAGGCAACGACTGCCATTCGCTTGATACCTGCCTTTTCATTTGATTCAGCAGATGTGACCCTGCCATCCTTCATTGAAATTGAGGAAGATTTCGGGAGTCAGGAAGTTGAGCATGAACTGCTCTCATTTGGGTTGCAAGTCATTGCTTTTGTCATTGATCAGAAGTCGGCGGCTTTGTGTTGTCCACTCGTTCCAGTCACACAGGAGCCTGTAGGACGCATTGTCTCTGTGAATTTGAGCCCTCAAGCAATCCAGAGATATCAGGTGCACTATTTTCAACAAGGCTGCAAATGTGATGACATTCAACTGATGCAGATCTTGCAAGCTGCGGGTTTTGCCAAAGCTGTTATCCTCCAACAATTCTGGCATCAGCATGATGTAGCAGAAATCCATTTCACAATACCTGAGGGAACTTTGGCAGTACCTGTAGGCCCTGTACGTGTCCAGAAACCTTGGCCTGCCCGCCAGCCGATTGTGCCGGCAGCACCGATGTTTCAATTGCACAACGAGGAAGTTGCACAATGTGCTCTGGAACTCGGAGTTTCTGCAGCAGACATCCAGAACTTCTTCACTAAAGTGCACTGGCCGCTTTGTGACATCACTCACGATCTTGATTTGCCGGAATGTTCCGCAGTCGCATGCCAGTCACTTGACCGTTTGGAACACTATGACCGTTTAGTTATTTACACTGACGGATCGTCACATTCAGGGCGTCTCCATCGTTCCACTGCTTTTATTGATGCTACCTCCATCCCAGACTCATGGGCATTTCTGGTTTTGGGGGAAAAGTATGGACAGGATGATGTTAGCAGTCTTGTATTGTTGGGTTGGATGTCTCATCAGGTGAGATACGAACATACCAGCTCTGCCTTCCTTGGTGCCAGATCGGTGAACCCACTGATTGCTGAGCGTGAAGCGCTCACCTGGGCGTTTCTGTGGAGGATTTTTCTAAACACCAACAAACCAACAACATTTCGAACGGACTCTGCCACCACCAAAGGTCAGGCCGAGGGTACCATTGGTACTTCAGAGTGTGACATGTCATTTCAGCTGCTTAGAGGTTGCTACCACTTGCTTGAGACAGCCCTCCCGTCTGATGCTTTGCAGATCTCACATGTTTTTGGCCATTTGAATGAACCATGGAACGAGTTCGTAGATCATGTTGCCAAACGTGAGGCGCAGGCTAGCTACTATTTGAGCTGGCCAGACGTCGACCTGAACAGATGGAAACCGCTGATTCCCCATCTCTGGCTTATCTTTGCACAGAAATTTGGAGCGCCTAAATTCTGTGGCAGTAGTTTTGCGGTACCGCCACCAGCGCTTCCATGCATTCAAGCCTCAAAGGATTTAGCCCCGGAGGACAAACCACAGTGGACTCAGATTGACTTTGTTCTTAGTCTTGTGACGGCCAATGTTCAATCTCTTGGACGCTCGGCAGATGGCTTTGCAGGCAAGACCTCATACCTCAGAAATCAATTTGCACAATTGAATGTCAATTTTCTGGGGATCCAAGAAGCACGATCAGAAGAAGGTGCGTCTCAGGTCGGAGATATCCTTCGACTTTGTTCAGGTGCTTGCAAGAACAATCTCGGTGTTGAGTTGTGGTGCAATCTTTCATGCCCTTTGGGCTGGATCAACGGGAAGCCCATTTTGGTCAAGAGATCAGACGTGAATGTAGCACATCGAGACCCCAGACGGCTGTTGACTCATTTTCAGATTGACCTTATGCCTTTCTGGATTTTAGTGCTCCATGCACCACAGAGCGGCCAATCCCGGGATCTCAGGGCAAGTTGGTGGACGGAGACGCAAGAATTACTCCACAACATTGTCCGTTCTGATGAGCCACTTTTTGTTTGTATTGATGCAAATGCGGCACCAGGACCATGTGACCACAAACATGTCTTTATCAAGGGTTTTGAGACGTCCTCCAGCACACCATTTCTCAGGGACTTTCTTGAACTCTTTGATTTGTGCTTGCCAGCCACTTGGAGCAAACATAGAGGTGATCGTGAGACCTGGACATCGCCTGATGGGCATTCGTCTCACATGATTGACTTCATTTGCGTGCCTATTGACCTTTTTGATCAGGTGACTTTCTCATGCTTGCTTGACAATTTTGATCTAGGTACTCAAAATGTCGATCACACAGCCACGGCACTTGAGATCAGGTGGCAAAAGAATCATGAAGTACTGCAGTCTCATGATAAGACCAAGTCACGTGTTGCCTTCGACAGAGGCCAGATTGCCAGCGCCCAACTGCAGAAGCACTTACAAGATCACTGTGTTCAGCCATGGAACTGCAGTGTTGATGTCCATTTTGATGATTTGCAAGAACATTTCTTGACATGCCTGTCAAAGAGCTGCCCAAGGGCCAAACAACTTCGAAAGAAGCCATATCTCACAGAGGCATTATGGCAATGCAGATCCGACAAGATCTTGACCCGACGCAAACTCAAGGAAGCCAAGAAGCTCTTGATTCGGGAAACACTTGCAAGGATTTTTCAAGCTTGGAAGACGAGGGACATACAAGACGCCTCACCAGTGCTAGCCCTGTCTTTCAACTTTGGCACCACTTTGCGTTGCTCTCTTTTGAAACTGCTGGTAAAATTTGTGAAAGTTTCCAAGCAGCTAGCCAAGGGGCTTCGCCAGTCAAAGTTTGAACATTTACACCAGAGACTTGAACAGCTTCCTGCGGAAGCTTCAGCTGGCCAAATCCAACATCTTCTGAAACCATTCATTGGGCCAAGCAGCAAGCTTAGACAGGGCATGCCACCTCTACCAACTATCCGCAATCAACAGGGAGAGCTTTGCCACAGAAGACAAGACACGATTGATAGATGGGTTGAACATTTTGCCGCCATTGAAGGAGGTGAAAGGATCAGCATGAGTGAGCTGCATTCCAAATGGGCCCACAACCTTGCGTGTCTCTCTTCTGAGGAATGCCGGCTCCCCATTCAAGAAATCCCCACCCGAGTTGAGCTTGAGTTCGCACTACGTCAAATGAAAGACGGCAAAGCAAGTGGACCAGATGGCATCCCATCGGAGCTATGCAGGCATTTTCCGGGACCGGTAGCTTTACAAATCTACACGTTGCTACTCAAGTCTGCAATTCAGGGCCATGAGCCACTCTTGCTGAAGGGCGGTGTTGCTCTGCCGATTTGGAAGGGCAAGAAAGCCAAAGATACGTGCAATGCGTATCGCTCAATCCTCCTTTCATCAAATATCGGAAAAGCAATTCACAAGACCATGCGCATGAAGCAAACGCAGGTCTATGAAGCCTTTTTGGCCCACCAGCAGATAGGGGGCAGAAAGAAGGTCCCTGTGGTCCTGGGATCACATCTCGCCAAAGCCTTTCTTCGTGTCCACCATGCACAACTTCATGCTACGGCAGTTCTGTTTGTGGACCTTGAGGCCGCTTTCTATCAGGTTGTCAGACCGCTCGCGCTGGCGGGTAAGTGGAATGATGAGATTTTGGCCTCCATGGCGCAACGTTTGCGCATGCCGGAGGACACAATCCATGCCTTGTATCAACATTTGCACCAGCCAAGTGCCATCGAGCTTGCAGGCCTTCCTCAATTTGCCCAAAATGCAGTCAGAGCATATCACACAGATACATTTTTTCAGGTTCCCTCGCAGGAAGACTGCGTTCAGACGCATCTTGGCACAAGGCCGGGTGATGCATATGCAGACATAGTGTTTGGATTTCTCATGGCTCGAATCTTGCACCAGTTTTGCGCACGTCTCCAAGCCCATGATGTCATTTCTCAGATTCCACAGTGCGATACACCTTCATGGTTTGAAACGCATTGTCATGGAGGACCCCTACAGAAGACCTGCATTGACTTCATTGGGCCCACGTGGATGGATGATTTAGCTCTGTGCCTCTGGGGATCATCAAATAATGCACTTGCCAGCAAGCTTGGAACAGCAACAAGCACCCTGTTAGATCTCATGCGTGAACATGCCATGTGCCCAAACCTTTCGAAGGGTAAAACAGAACTGATGGTCACCCCGAAAGGCCCTGGCACCAATGCATGGAAAAAGAGATTGTATGGGCCACAGGCCACAGGACTTTACCCGATACTTGGGGAAGCTGAGACATACCAAGTGCCGGTTGTGTCGTCATATGTCCACCTCGGTAGCATCTTGCATCACTCAGGTTCCAACAAACAGGAAGCCAAACGCAGAATTGCGATCGCCAACGCCTGCTTCAACAAGCACAGAAAATTGATTTTCCAGAACCATTTGCTGCCCCTGAAAAAGAGGGTTGAACTCTTTAACAGTCTTGTGATGAGTAAGCTTTGTTATGCCATGGAAACGTGGACCCTTGCTGATTGGAAAACACGTGAATATGTGCATGCTGCCATCATGCGACTGTACAAAAGACTCCTCAAGATTGATGTGGCAGACCATGTGTCGGACGATCAAGTGCTGTGTGCTTTAGAAGTACCATCACCTTCAGAAGTCCTTCGCCGTACGAGACTGAGGTATATTTCCACATTGCTTCAAGTTGACAAATCAGCGTGCTGGGGACTACTCAATCAAGACTCCATTTGGAATCGGCTAGTGCAGGATGACTTATGTTGGATGTGGAGGAACCTTTGCAACTCGAGTGACTTAGGTCCACCTGATACCCACATTGCCAGATGGATCGAAATCATGCGCTTTCACCGATCCTTTTGGAAAAGGCTGGTTCGTAGAGCAGTTCATCATTCCATCGCCCAAAGAAAGAAGGAATTCAAATGCCAACAATTCCATCTTGGCATCCGAGAGCTCTTGCAAGCCCACCACATTTGGCCTAATGCATCAGACCAGAATCAGACGGTGGCCCATGATGCTGAAGCCCAGGTTTTTGGATGCATGTGTTGCCAGTGCAGTTTTCGTACCTTGGGTGGGGAGGGTGCACATATGTTTCGCAAGCATGCGGTTGTGCATCCTGTGCGGTTCCTTTTCAGCTCTACCCAATGCAGCGCCTGCCTCCGTGAGTATTTCACATGTACACTGGGGACTGTATGAATGCATTGTTGAGACTGCCATAGAGCTGGAACAACCGACCGCACTCTGCGTGACTCTGAAGACGGTCATCACATCTTTTGCCGTCTCTTGGACGAAATGCAAACTGACCTTGCAAGAATTGCTTGATACAGTAGCGACAGAAACTGAACCTTGGGGACAGATTCCACTGGCACAGGTGACTCATTGCTTGCAAGAACTCATTGATGCAGCAGCATGGCCTTTTTTGCAGCAACCGAGAAACACTGCCCCACCTTGCCAACCGGACTGCGTGACCCTGGAAGCACAGTGTCGCCAGATTGCTTTTCAGAACATGCGAGAGGAGCAAAGACGCTTGGGGCGTCACAGAGTGATACTACATGCGTTCAGTGGCCGCCGGCGGCCGGGAGACATTCAGTTCTTCCTTGAAGCGCTTTACAATTCTGCAGATGGTACTGTTTTACATGTTGTTTCCCTTGATTTGATGACAGACAGAATCTGGGGAGACGCATCTAGAAGTGAAACTCAGCAGTTTTGGAGAGCCGCAGCTGATGATGGCCGAGCGCACGGCTTTTTAGCCGGACCCCCATGTGAGACTTGGTCCCAAGCTAGGTTTGTGGCCACAGGGGATGACCGGGGTCCTCGTCCGGTGAGGTCCACTTCCCACCTTTGGGGGTTGGAGGCTCTCAGCCTCCGTGAATTGGAACAGGTGCTCATGGGCAATGAACTTTTACAGTTTTCTCTGGACATGATGCTCCGCCTATATTTTTCTGATGGTTTTGGAGTTGTCGAACACCCTGATGAGCCGCAGGATGAAGACAAACCATCCATTTGGAAACTTCCAGTTTTGGACCTTTTTCGTGCCATCGAGAACTTCCATGAAATCCGATTTGGGCAAGGTTTGCTTGGGGCGGCCAGCCCCAAGCCCACGAGATTGCTGGTTCTCAATTTGCCGGGGCTACGGACCACATTGAGGAGACACCATCTTTCAAAAGACCCCCCAAAGAGTTCATCGATCGGAAAGCAGCAAGATGGCACGTGGAAGACGGCGTACTTAAAGGAGTACCCGCCCGCTATGAGTAGAGCTCTAGCGGTGGAATTCAAAGAGTGGTTCCAACGACAGATTACAGACTGCTCGTTGCAAGGGGATCACGCTTTTGTATCCCGATGTCGCCAGATGAACGCACGGCGGTTCACAGAGCACATCGGACAGGATTTTGCTTCAAAGTAAGCATCGAATGCCATGCAGGCCGCGTCGACCAGACTCCTTGGGCTTGAGAGAAAAAAATATATATATATAATTTACATCATGTTTCTCCAGCATATTTGCAGGTGCATGCAGGGCTAACCAGGGTTTTCATCGGCCTCAAGCTGTAAGGTAAGACACCGATTTCACAGGATATGTCAGAGATGAGAAAATTCACCATTTGAGTGTGTACAAAATTATGTCATACATACATGTATATAATAGATAATACAATACCTATATATATATATATATTGGAGTACATGTATATATAATATATACATATATATATATATGCATTATATGTAGTATATGTATCATATGTATTATATGTATTTTTTGTATTATATGTACTATATATATATATATATACAATATGCCAAGGAACAGTTGCATCCCAGCCTTCCTACGAGTGTTTTTTTTTCTCAAAAGGTCTCAGTCAGTCTGCGCCGCTCTTCGGCGCGGCTTTTTCGTCTGCGAGGGGTTCTTGGATCCCATCCGAAGGGGATGGTCATGCGCGTGCAAAGGGTTTCGTAGGCTTCTCAGTTCCAAAACCGTTTTGGCGAGTTCCAAAATGGGATGACAATAACCATCCATGACCTTTTAGTGATATATCTGGTTGGTGGTTGACCTAAAACCCCTCTGAAAAATGATGGAGTGAAAGTCAGTTGGGATGGATGGAAATTCCCAATATATGGAAAAATAATAAATGTTCCAAACCACCAACCAGTGGTGAACAATGAATCAATGTGGGAAAAATAGACCCAGTCCCACAGCTTGTCGGGTAGCCATAGCTTTTAGGATGGGCGGATCCTGAGGATGGTTTTTCCACGAGCCCATCTCTTCTTTGCCCAAGGAAGTTAGCCTTGCACATCTCCGAAATCTCGCACAGGCTGGGGAAACTGAAAGCAAAGGGCTCGGCGGATCATTGCACACTGTTTCACTGTTTCCCCCAACAATAGGGGTCTACCCTCTGGTAATTTAACATAGCTATTGAAAATGACCATTTATAGTGAGTTTTCCCATTAAAAATTGTGATTTTCCATAGCTACGTTAAATTACCAGAGGGTAGATGGTTTAGCAAATTTAAAACAAAAAGCAACCTGAGGACCTGTTGGTTTCCCAAAAAAAATGGGGGTGGGCCCCCAAATCATCAATTTTCGATTGGGATTTTCCATATATTTGTCCGTTGGAAACCGTCCATTTTCAAGCCGGGCCCATCGAGGACCCTCAGCTGCGACGGGGCGGTGTCATGCAAAGCTTGATCCTGAGGCGATGCAGCGATTGGTTGATATATATTAGGGGGGCTTCATAGAGATACCCCCAAGAAAAGCATGGTTTATTTCATGGAAAATCCTGTGACTTAAAATGTCGTAAAATGGATGATATGCGGGTACCCCATTTTAGGAAACCTCCATGTACAGTAGATACTTGGAGATAAAGCGCGAAAGGATCCTGTTTTCAGGGCTCTACTTCAAACCTGTTGGATATAGTTGGTCTCTATAGGGTCATTTGAAAGATCTCTTCAGCAAGTTGTCCTGTTCATTTCCTCATCATGGAATCCCCATTTCTCACCACAAAACACCCGGAATCAAGGTCGACATCATGTTCATTGTATCTGTCCTCACTAATTATGCTTAATCAAACATGTTCGCCATGTTTTGACCATTAAAATTCACTCAAATCCCTAGTTTCAATGCTTCTCCAGTCAATCTTGGCCGTCTGCCAGAGGTCTCAGAAATGTCTGGGCAGTCGGCTCCTCAAAGACTATACAATGACGAAGGAATGTTTATTATTATATTACATAATAGTATATCCAACCATTGTCATATTATATTGCTCATTATAATCCAAGATCTGCTAAGTAGATCTAAGTAGTACATCCAAGATATGATAATCATATTCTGACCAACCATAGTATATCATAGCCTTATTATATGTCTCATTTTTGGTTTCGTTCCTCTTTTCCTAATATTTATAAAACCACAGTGAAGTCGTGAAAAAGACGTGCCTCTCCCAGATTAAAAAACGACAATCTATAATAGACTTAATCCCAAACCTTATTGGAGGTCATTTTGTTTCACAATGTCAGAAGATTTCCCCAATCTGGGCCATATTGATGATGTATGATGTCACTTTTTTCAAATGGATCGCGAGGAACTCCATCATCTCATCTTCTGAGTTTCCAGGCCATTCTTCCACCAACTCTTCATTGGACGATGCAAACAGTTTCCGTCGCTGGTACCTCAGGCTGAAATCGTGCTGAAGTTTTTCGGGCCCGAAAAAGATCGCATACCGTTCTCATGGGATGAAGGAAAACATCACAAGAAACCCCTGCTATTGAGGGGTCAATCCATGTTTTTCAATGATTGACATAAATTGACATATGTTTTTTTACTGTCCTATATTGTCCTTCAAACCAACATCATTAACCATCTTCGGCCCGAAGGGGTACCTCTGCTACCAGCATTTTGCATTGCCATGGAACGGAACAAGAGATGGAACATTGAAATAAAAAATCCTGAACATTGAGATTACCATTCTCATTTCCTGCCATGGATAAAAACATATGTGATCAGTCGCAACAGGAAACTGAGATGTCTTCTGTTTCAGAGTGCCCAACCTTAAAACCAAAACCTTTTGTTCAGAGATGGGTCAAATGGTGGTCCCATCCGACCAATTATAAGGTGAATAACTGGTTGGTGGTGCAATAACCATCTTGAAAAATATGAGTCAATGGGAAGGATGACATCCCATATATGAAATGGAAAATAAAAAATCGTTGAAACCACCAACCAGTTCAATTTTGGGGGAGCAATTTTGACCCATATCCATTGCCATAGCCGTGTGCTGCCCGGCTGAGTCTTGGGCTTGGCCACAGGTGAGCTGATGCTAAAGGCATAGACGCGGCTCTCGTCCAAGGTCTGAACGCGCCGAAGGTCTGAATCCATTGGGGTTTCCATAGCTATGGGGGCACCCGGGTACCCAATAGCTGGATGGTTAACCTATAAATGGATGATCTGGGGGCACTCAATCTTTTAGGAAATCCGTTTTTATCTTGATTAATTCACCATCTTGGTTGGTTATATCTCTCCATGTTTTGCCACTTGAGTCCGCATTTACTTGAAAAAAATTGCCTCTGCTCCCAATTTGTGGGACCTTAACCATCCCTATCTCACTAAATAAAGGAGATTGTCGCTTGTTTGCCCTGAAATTGTTGGGCAATTGCTCCCATGATTGCTGATAAATTCTACATTTCTGGCTGACCCGTTGACCCTTTTCCCGAATGCGTAGCAAGGGTTCCCGTTTCACTCCGGGGGTCTGGGGTTGAGGGTGTGTTCGCTCGACGTTGCGTTTAAGGTCACAACCGTCCGCAACCGTCCGCGTGAGGTCCCTATGGCCGTGCCTATGGCACAGTGGTCACTTTTGGAAGCTTCAGACGTCGCGTAGTCTCGTTTTGCGTGGCAAGCGTGGCACTTTGTGACATTCCAACGTGTTTCATACCGTGTCAAAAATCGTTTTGTGTGGCAGACGCAATACTTTTGCATCGCTTTCAGAAGATGAGTTGCAGTTTTCGTGGCAAGCGCAGCACTTTGGCGACCTCCATCGTCATTTCGCGTGGCAGGCGCAACACTTTAGACTTGTCATGTTGCGTGCTTTTGCAAATCGCATTGTCAGGGCTGCGTGACGTGGCGACAACGTGCAAATTCCATGGCGGGCGTGGCATTTTGTGAGATGTGCTGAAAAGTGACGGAAGCCTCGCACGAAACATCGATTTTGATGTAGCAAATTTTGAGGTTCATGAGAAAACTCGTAGGAAAATGAAAAGTTTAAAGCTACAAAGTATGAAAATTGGAGGACGTCTCGCACGAAATGCTCGTTTTGAGGCTCCTACATATCGTTCTCGATTCTCTGGTTTTCTTCTGCCGTCGCCGTGTCTTGTCATGTCGTTTTGCGTGGCCGGTGTGGCACTTGGTAATATTCTCACGTGTCTGCAAAAGTGTCGACAATCGTTTTGTGTGACGTGCGCAATACTTTTGCAAGGCTTTCAGAAGATGAATTGCATTTTAGGTGGCAGGCACAGCACTTTGAATGTGTCCATCTTGATTTTGCGTGGCAAGCGTAGCACTTTAGACGTGTCTTGTTGCGTGTTTTTTGCGAATCCCATTGTCAGGGCTGCGTCAAGTGGTGGCAGTGTGCAAAATCCATCAAAATCCGTGGCATGTTGTGACATGTCATGACACTCCCCACTCACACTCTACTCTCCACACTTTACACTTTACACTTTGCACTTTACACTTTACACTTTACACTCCACACTCCACACTTTACACTTTACACTCTACACTTCACACTCCACACTCTACACTCCACACTTTACACTCTACACTCTACGCTTTACACTCCACACTCTACACTCCACACTCTACACTCCACACTCCACACTTCACGCTCCACACTCCACACTCTACACTGCACACTCCACACTCTACACTCTACACTTTACACTCCACACTCTACGTTTTACACTCCACACTCCACACTCCACACTTTACACTCTACACTTTACATTTTACACTCCACACTCAACACTCCACACTCCACACTTTACAATTTACACTCTACACTTTACACTATACACTCCACACTTTACACTCTACACTTTACACTCCACACTCCACATTTTGCGCTCCACCCCTTCCGCATTCCACAGTCTACAGTGCACTGGCATGGTAACAGGGGAAGAATGTACAAGACTGTTCAAATAACTTGTTTCACAAGATGTTCTACGTGACTACATTCGGGTTCGTGGGCTGCATCTTGTCGTTTTGATGATCAGCTGAGTTCTACTGGTTGGCTAAGGGGGGGTCTCACATCATAGATGGCCTCCCATCATAGATGTATACCCGCCGCCATGGCCAAACTTAGATGCTGAGCTCAATACATTCCAATGTCTTTCCATTTCTTGCAATAGATTAAGGTTGTTCAACATCGTTCCACTACAATGTTGTTTCAACTATTCCTGTGTTTCATAATAATGTTTGTTTGATTGCCCTCTGGGTCATAAACATGGCGTACGGGAAAATCCGTTATTTATACATGATTTTCCCAGCTAGAAGCCTTCATATACATAATATATATATACATTATATATATATACATAATATATATATATATCCCTGCAAATCCCTATAAATGGATATAAAATGGGACTATAGACGTCCTTTTTGTTTCAACAGACGCCATCCAGGCAGCTTGTTCTCCCACCTCGACGAAATCCCGGCGAGCCCTCATGACCCACCAGTTGGAGACCTGACGATGCAGACGGCGACCAACGTGCTTGATGTGGTACTTATATATATATATGTGTGTGTGTACATATGTATATATTTATTTGTTTATTTATATTTATGTGTGAATATATAAACTACTTATTTAGATGGGTTTATAAACCAGCGTGTAACTGGAAGATGGTCATCCCATAAATGACCATAAATCCAAAACGGACCATGTTATTGATAAGCATCTCCTGATGTTCGAAAACAGCCCAGGGTTTGACGGAATCGTGCGCGAGCGAAGTCGCAGCACCAACGCCCCTTCCCGGTTCAGGGGGGTACGAGGTGTCAGAAGGGGTGTGAACCGAGAATGGAAAGCACACAGCTAACTACAATGTACTGGCCGTATGCCAGGGAAATGTCACACTAAGAATAGCAGTTGACAGACCACATCGCGCGGTTGTCCCTTGCCGAGTGAAAAGACAATTGCATACAGAAACAGCAATTTTGTCAGAGATGCTTCGAAAATTACATATCTTGGAAGGCTGTACAACAAGAACAAGCCCAAGCACAAAGGCAAGCAAGAGAGTTTTGGCAAACAAGTACAAGCAAGCATCAACTGCAAGCAAATCCAGACAAGGAAAAGCCATGGTGCACATGGGACAATGCTCGAAGCAGTTTACGGAAAAATGTACAGGAAAACCCAGTTATAGAGAGAGAGAGAGAGCTGCTCTGACAAAAACTTTGGGGCAAATGTTCAGAAAAACCAGGTGTTGGCGGGAAATAACTGTTTTGCTTGCATACTTAAACTAAAAGGTGTCCTGTCGTTTTCCCTCAAACGACCAGGTTGCACAATCAACATAAGAGAAAGACAGAGAAAGTGACACTGCAATTTGTAGCGGCCAATGGACATGTTCTAGCATAGATCCTGTAGACGCGGATAATCGTGACGTGACAGGGCATGGCAGGTTACTGATGCATAATTACCATGGTAGTATGTTAAGACATCCCATCACATGATGTGACATTGTATGAGTTGGATTGTGGGGTATTAGTACAGTGCAGTGTAAATTTTTGTCTGGTCCCTCAGTGTGTTTGGAGTGACGTGCTATCAACCATAAGTCTTAAAGTTTAAAGGCCCGATTTTTTCCGGCACACACACACATACAACTGATGCGTTTCTAAGGAACTGACGTTTTAGCAATGCATTCATCCCGCAGCTTTAGAAAATGAGAACAAAAGGGAAGGAAACAACATACTCTTCAAAACTATCAAAAGTCAACATCGAAACGCATCTGACACCAAAAAATGGTGGTGTCAACACATCCGAAAAATGTGCTCCTCAAAATTGGATCATCATCCCAAATAAAAAGGGGAAAATGGAGGTGTCCTAAAATATGGAGACCCCCAGTTATCATCCATTTATAGATGGGATTTTCATAAACCATCCAGCTCTTGGGCTACCCCCATGGCTAAACACGTCCACGTCCCCGTTTTTTCCAATGCACACTATATAAGTATGATGAGTATATGGAGACTGGCGTGTGGTCTTAACAATTCAAAAGAAATATATAGCTAATTATAATTCAATTATATATATATATACACAGTAGTCAATTTATTATGATGATGATGATCATCATCATCATCATTGTTTTTTTTAATGTTTTTAAATGTTCGTTTTGAGCATATCAATCATCATCCAACATAGGGCATGCCACTCACATGGCTTGTCCACGACTGCTGGATCCCGCACCAAATCTCCACTGAGCTGCAGGGACGCCCCTCCTGAGGGCGCGAACGTGCCGCTTGAACCGGTTGAAGCGGTTGAACCTTTCTGGGCCATAGAAATAGTGGATTTTCTCATTAAAAATTGTGATTTTCCATAGTTTATAGTGGATTTTCCATACAAATAGTGGATTTACCCATTGAAAATGGTGATTTATAGTGGATTTACCATTGATAGCATGGTGATTTATAGTGGATTTACCCATTGGATAATGGATAATAAGGTGAATAACTGGTTGGTGGTGCAATAACCATCTTGAAAAATGATGGAGTTCGTCAATGGGAAGGATGACATCCCATATATGAAATGGAAAATAAAAAAATGTTTGAAACCACCAACCAGTTTGTATATTAAGAAACTGAATACCACATCAGATATTGAATGTTTATGAATGTATTATTTCTATATGAATCTTTCTATCCAGTGATCATTGGAAATCAGAAAGGAAGATCACTGGATACTTAGATGGATATGTCATGTCCCATAACATCTTGTACACCAATCCTCCATCTTTCTGGAGGCCATAAAAATCATTGGACATCTCAGCATGAAATATGGAGGATTCCTTTTCCAGTAAGGGTTCTTGAACCAATTCCGGACGTGGGAGAACTGAAAATGAACATGTCTGAAGACCGTGAGTTGGTGCTGGTGAGCCTGTCAGATCGTTGTACGTTATACAAAGAAAGATATATATACATAATACATAATATATAGCGTAAATTTCATGGTTTGTTGATGTGTCTTGCTTGAAGCCGACTTTCGTTATTCAAATCAGCATTGCTGTTACTTATATGATTGACTGTGTGCGGTGCTAAGTCACCATTCTTGCTGGCCTTAATCACCATTTTTACGATTGAATCAGAACTCTTGATGTTTAAATCACTGTTGATGTTCATAACTCACATCTCCATGTTGGCAGATTCATCAAAATTCACCATTTAGCTGGATGATGTTCCAAACAAAATTCACCCAAACTAACTACTTCAACACTCCCAAGTCCCCATGGCTTTCACTCCGAAAAAACGGGTCGATGTTTTGGATGAAACCTCTACCCGGCCTGGCAAACAAACAAACAGCTATTGAAATTCTGGCCATAGAAATAGTTGATTTACCCAATAAAAATGGCGATTTTCCATAGTATTGTTAGTTCATTTCCACTTTTGCTGAGTTCAACACTTCAAAATCCCCCCAAAAATGAATCCACAACCTTCTCATTTCCGCGGCTGTCCTTCACCCGCAGCTGGTCCCAGCCAAAGATGGCCTCGCAGGTGGCTAAAAATTGTAACCACCAAAGGTCGCCCAAAAGCGTGAAGTAAAATAGGATGGCTAGTGTCTAGATGGTTATTTCATGGTTTAAATTGTTCATGGTTAGTGTTTAAATGTTCAATGATTAAAAATGAATGAATACACAATTAATTGATGGTTTACGTTTACGAATGGTGAATTAAAGATATATAATAATGGTTTATTAACGGAATTGTCTACTAGAGAACAATAACATGGATGGTTTATCATGGTTCACGCAGTATAATTATTTATTGTCCATCATAAAAGGTGTCCCCACAATTTTCCCATCATTTCCCATTTTTTTCTCATCATTTTCCATCATCTCCCCATCATTTTCCATCATTTTCCCATCATTTTCCCATATGTTTTCCCGTATTTGTTTCATGATTTTCCATCATGTCCCATCATTTTCCCGTGATTTTCCCATGCTTTCCAAGCTTTCCGTTTCGTTTCGGCATCGAAAAAATGTCGGGGGCTGGGACCTGAACGGCTGAGCCAGGCCCGTCGTCGCTGCCAATCTTCCACTTTCATGGGATTCCCATGGAGTCGCAGTACCTGCTGAAGCGCATTTTTCACGGAAAATTGATACAATGGGAAGAATAATGTGTGTATATATATATATATACATATAGCGTAAATAATAATGATAATAATAATAACAATAATGATAATAATAATATAAATAATAATATTAATAACGATATGTATGTATATGTCTATATAGGAATGAGGATGTATTAATGATTAAAATCTGGAGGGAGAATGCGGTTTACCGTCGAAGGAAAACGCCTGGAGGTGCAGAACATCAAAAGTGGCCATGCCAAAGTGCGATTCCAAGAAGCATGAAGTATCTGTATGCATGTAGTGTATATATATATATCAATGTGTAACATATGTTAATTCTTCATATCTATATATATATGCAAATGTGTGCTATATAGATGTGGATCTGGATATGTCACAATTACTAAAAATCAGCAGTTCTCACCTATTCGTGTAGATAATTTACAGTAGTTTAAAAGCATGTCGATGCAAATCTATGGAAATTGCTCATAGAAATCACAGAAATAGATGATTGATGATGATTTAGCGAATATTTCAATTGTCATTCTTCAATTCGCAAACTAATATTTAAGTCACAACTAGAGGGTAAGGTCATCATTCTCCCATTATATCAAATATGTATATATGTATATATATATACATGAATCCACTATTGTTGTTGGTTCAAGCCCCTTAGATGTATAATCTTTATGGCTCACATCCCATCCAAAACACCAGTAACTGAGGTTCTGGCCCAGAAGTCCTTGTTTTGTGAGCGATCGGAGGGATCAAATCTGGGATTTTTCCACTCGAAAAAAAATACGGCGTATTCAATGAGAAAATCATAGGAAAATATGAATATGGGTCAATACCTATAGATAGCATTTTTAGTGGGATGAACACCCATTTACCAGCTATTTTGATGTTCACCAGGGGTACCAGGGTTTTGACCCATCCCCATATGTCTCCCCGAATCCTAACCGTTATTTCAGTGAGGTCAAAGTGAGGTCACTCTAATTTACCCGTCAAATCCCGTCAAATGAAAGTTGAACGGTCTGCCAATTCAGATCATTAGGACGGGATTTTATCTGAACAATTCCACCATCAATTCTACTTGGAGCTGCAGCTCCAAGTATAGTTGGATATATATATATATAATGATATCTATAGTTTAAGGGGCTATATCCCAACTTTTTTCGGGGCAATCCCTATGGTTACATCGAGTAGTGTAACCAAAAGCACCCCTGAGACATGGGGATAAACATCAAGCTGAACATCCATTTACCATCTCTTTTTTTGGTGCTCATCCATGTACCTTAGGAATACACAAATGCAATACACAGCATAAACTATGAATATATCTGTGCATATATACCGTACATATTCTATTTTGATAAATCAACATGCACCAACCTGGAAATTTTAAGGCCTTGTATGGGAATAGTGTAAATACCTATGTCTAGTGTAAATACCTATTAACAAGTGACATAGTTATCTATTAATTAATGAATTAATCTATTTGGGAATAGTGTAAATCTATGGCCATTTGGGAATAGTTATTCCAGTGACTTCGCAGTGAGGTTGTTGTAATTTTTCCAGTGTACATATTTTAGACATGTAGGATCACGTGGGATTACTGACAGTAGAGATTCATAAGCTATTTCCCACTTTGTCAGACAGCCTACATGAATAATTGAATAGATACACATTTGTGTACTGCAATGCCCTTTATTTTAACCAGATTCTACATGTGTACAGTGTATAACACACATATATATATATACATATTATATTATAGCATATTATATAATATTATATTATACTATACTATATTATATTATATTATACTATATTATATTATATTATATTATATATTATATTATGTTATATTATATTATATTATATTAAACTATATTATCTTATATTATATTACAGTATATTATATATATAGCTGTTTATGTATATATGTATATATACACGTATATGATTATGTATGTATACACATAGACATACATCTATTTATATCTAGTGCACTTTGGTGACAACAGGCCTCAGCATGGTATATCCGAATTCTCCAGGTATCCATACTGAGCAGATCTGCGCATTCTCAGGGTTGCAATCTTCTTGCGCCACCTGCGATCCGGCCGAGAGTATCATGGATGGCTTCCACCCTGAACATACATGCCTTACATGCCTATATATATATATATGGGTATGGGTCAATACCTATTAATACCATTTTTAGTGGGATGAACATCCATTTACCAGCTATTTTGATGTTCACCATGGGTACAAGGTTTTGACACACTGCCATATATCATTTATGGTTCGCATGTCCATAGTAGATACTCACATCATTCAAGATGTGCGGGACCCCCCGGACAAACACTCTCTTGGATGTGCATCCCACGAATCGGATCCGTGGTCGATCCATATAGAAATATATTCTATATAAGCAAAATTCTCCACATATATATATATAATATACAGTATATATATATATATATAACTGGGATTCACTGGGGGTACAACATGGTATAACCCATTTACATCATTTACTAAGTGGGATGCACCCCCTTGGCAAACCCTTTCCGCGCTTCCCCTGCGCTTCGTGGTCCCAAGGTACCAATGCGGCGACATCTTTCAGCAGGTCGTTTCCTGTAGACCTATGCCAAGCGATGCTGCGGGACGGGACCGGAGATGGGTCAAAAAAATGGCACCAATGGACCTCTCAGGAAGCGAGATAACTATTATATGTTCCACATTATATGATATTATATGGTCCATATCTCTAATATCTCTAAAATCTCTAAAATCTCTAATATCTCTAATATCTCTAATATCAATAGCCATTTCAGGAACCGAAAAAAATGGAGCTACCTACCATCTATAAGCCCTATTTTTTAGGGCTTAATTTCAGGGAATATCCCCACAATTCATATGGCCTGAAATACGGTACACCTCCATCTGTTGGATCCTGAAGATCTCCAATGGCTAATGGGGTACCCAATGCACTCTACATTTTGGAAGTTCAACATTCTGACTCATACCAACATGGAGTGAAGACCAGCAATGACAAGCAAGTCAAAAAAAAATCAGGCTTTGAACCTTCCTGGAACCTAAAAGTCTAAAAGGAGCGAGCCAGCTGGTGATTTTTTCGAATCAGCCCAGGCAGCCAGCTCAGCTCCAAGGCAGCCAAGGCACAAGTTGCAGAAATCCTCGGGATAGTCCTGCGAAGAAGATTTTTTGCCAGAACCATCGAAAGGGGTGTGACTTTAGCAATGTGTCAAAATCATGTTTTTTTCCGATTTTGCAGCATGAATTGTGTAATGGACTATAAACAACAGGTGAATTCACCTCTGAGAATGGCCCAGTACAAAGTTGGGGACTTTCCAATGTCAGTTTCAAGTACCAGAAGGTCACAAAAAAATGGTGTAAGTGTGTGGGTTCATTATGGTCCATTGCTACCCCAATGTTGATTCACATGGGTGTTTAAAACTAAAAATAGGGTACCCCCCAAACCACTTCGCTTTCCCTATGGAAAATATTATGACCGCCAAGTTCGATGATGATGACCTTTTTGTTCACATTCAAATAGCTGTTGCTCATGGATGTTCATCCCCAAAATTTGGTATGACAGTAATTTCATTCCCTTTTCTAATATGAAACACCCCGCATGACCGGGCCCCGAAAATGAAGGTTTTCTGGCGGCATTTTGTATCCGGGGGAAGGGATGAATATATAGGTATTTAATATTGGTAAAACAATAATAAACCATCCCCTGAATCACCATTTTTATAGGTGGTATGGTTACCATTCCCAAATGGGAGGTTTATGACATTGTGTTACCCACATTAACCAGGCATTAATCTTATCACCATATTAACCACTATTAACCACTAATTATAACCATAGATTAACCACTTATAGTGATCCTTCCCATGGTATTTAGATGTATTTAGTACCATTCCCATTTGTTGGGCCATCACCAGCTCCCGCCTCAGCCAGCTGCCTTAGCCATCCCTCGACCACTTTCCTGGCTTTGAGCCCGAGCACGACCGAAGAAACAGCGGATCTGGGATACCCAGAAAAGCACCATGTACCCGACATGGTAAACATACAAAAAGCTATTGAAATTCTGGCCCAGTCGAAATAGTTGATTTACCCACTAATAGCATGGTGATTTTCCATCGTTATGTTAGTTTACCAGAGGGTAGATAAAGGGCACAACACAGAAAAATCACTCCGCATCAATCCAAATTCTACTGATTCTACTGACCATAGATTGCATCAAATCCCAACCTCACTGACTATAACTTGCCTAAAATCCCAAGTTCACCAGCCATAAGTCCATGTCAACTATCCTCCCCGGGGTTTAAGGACCGACTCCGTTCCGCGACGGCCTATCCGCCCCGCGCTCAGCATGGCCACTCCCGCGAGCACCCAAGCGCTGGTCTAGGCCCAGGCGGCGCCTGGGATCAACTCGTTTGGTTTTAGTAGTGCTACTATAGTGCGGATATTCAAACATATATATACATACATATTATATTATATATATATGTATATATGTGCAGTGATAGTGTAGTGATAGTGTAGTGATAGTGTAGTGATAGTGTAGTGATAGTGTAGTTATACGTTAATAGTTATACTATGTCTATCCGTGTAAAAGTATGGTGCATAATAGCACTACTTGTATTACTGTTATGTAGGTTAAGGTTAGTAGCTGGTAGTGCTAGTGTAAGTAGCAGTGAATAAGTAGTGTATAGTGTATGATATTGTGTATAGGCAGTGTATAGTAGAAATTCTATAAGTCCTATTACTATAGTAGAAACAGTGTATCATTATAGTATAAGTTAATTTAATTTATTAGTACTTTGTCTTAATAGTGCAACTTAGTGGTGTATAAGTTAGTGTTTAGTACGGATAAGTTAGCATGTAGTGGATCATATAGTGTATAAGCACTAGTGTGTGGGAATAATATGATACAGCACTTGTTATGATAAATTTAGTGCATGATAAGATAGGATGATATATGGTATAGTTTATAGGGTGTAGTAACGGTGTCGTAGATAAGATGAGTAATAGTATGATAGATACAATGTATGTATATACTATATTCATCTATTAATATATATATATGATAAGATAATACGATATGATCTATATCATATCATTGCTATGGTACCATTATATGATAGGGTAATATATGGTACAGAAATTGTATAGTATAATATAACTATTACCATTACTATAGTATTACTTTGCCTCTGTAAAGGACCCCAGGAAAGACATGTTCCCCCAATCGTTTATCAAAACGTATCAAAACATATCTCTAACAAAGACTCGTCAGTGCCTATAAATAAACGACCTTCAAACAGCTCAGGCCAAATTTGAGTACCCTCTACCGCTTCTAATCTGCATCAAAAATAGTCATGGCTACACAAACCGATGACTGCCTCGATGACAAGATTATGTTGCAATATTCTGTGCTTACTATATTACACTAATACTAGCATAGTACCGTATAGCATTGAGAAAATATTGCAAAAATGTGCTATAATATCATTCATACTATATATTATGGTGCACCGCAATATTTTACTACATTACACCACAGCACTGTGAGAATTCCGATCCACCAGTCTGCAAAGGGGCATGGTACAAGGTGTTCATTTGCACTCACACATCAGATACTAGCATAGGGAAATGTATGAAAACATAATGTCGGACATTGCCAATTCAGTGTTTCTTACAACTCACCAACTAAACGTCAAAGCGTATGTTTAAAACAAATGATCAATTTCCAAGCAAAACACTGATCATAATACCGGCCGGACTTGGGCACCCAGAAAGTCAATGACCCAGATTGAACCCAAAAAAATATCGATATCTGCCAACAATGACAAACAAGAACCTACAGTATTCTTTAATATTCTTTATGTTTATTCGTACATGTTGATCCCTTTTGGCTCCACGCCATTTACCCCACAGATTAGAAACTTGAGCACAAGAGACTGAACCATTTCTACCCCCTAGTAATCTAATGTATCCATTGAACATGGCCATGGTCAATAGGTACTCTAGGGCCCCAGGGCAAATTAACATAGATGTGGAAAACCCATGGTTTCCGTAGGAAAACAATCTACACATGGTGGTTTTCCCAGATCTTTTGTTGGATCCCCTTACATAATCCAGCTGGCTATTCGATCCTGTGAAGTCAAAGGTTTTCACTACAATTATCATAACATCTAGTCATTTAATGTTGTTTTTAATGGAAAAAATATGATACAGTCATTATAGCCATGAAAAGAACCGTCAGTTTCTCCTTCCCTAGAATTAGCCTGTGGTAATTTAACATAGCCATGGAACATGACCCATGTGTATTTTCATAGTTTACCTATTCAAATGATCATGTCCATGGCCATGGCTTCCATGGCTTTCTGAAAAATGACCGCTGTTCGTCGTCCCTTTATTACACTGGTTGGTTGGGAACCGGATTCCCCAAATGGATGGTGGATCCGCGTCGCCTCACCGCGACGCGGATTGCTGCCACGGGGCAGTACGGCCATGCCAGGAAGCGTGGATTCCTTTGGAAGTTGCGAGGGATCCTCGCGGTGATACAACTCGCCTACCGCGCGGTAGGAAGTGCGCCGTGCCACCGAGTGCGGAGATGTCATGGGTGTAACATATGTACGTACGTACGTGCATGCGTGCGTGCGTATCTACCTACCTACCTACCTATCTATCTATCTGTCTGTCTGTCTATCTATCTATCTGTCTATCTATCTATCTATCTATCTATCTATCTGTCTGTCTACCTATCGATCTATCTATCTATCTATCTTTATGTCTTTCTTTCTTTATGTCTTTTCCTTTTTTCTTTCTTTCTTTCTAATCTATCTAATCTATCTAATCTATCTAATCTATCTAATCTATCTAATCTATCTGATCTATCTAATCTATCTAATCTATCTGATCTATCTATCTATCTATCTATCTATCTATCTGTCTATCTATCTATCTGTCTGTCTGTCTATCTATCTATCTATCTATCTGTCTATCTATCTATCTGTCTATCTATCTATCTGTCTTTCTATCTATCTATCTGTCTATCTATCTATCTGTCTATCTATCTATCTGTCTGTCTATCTATCTGTCTATCTATCTATCTGTCTATCTATACATCTATCTATCTATCTGTCTATCTATCTGTCTATCTATCTATCTATCCGTCTGTCTGTCTATCTATCTATCTATCTGTCTGTCTATCTATCGATCTATCTATCTGTCTATCTATCTATCTATCTATCTGTCTGTCTATCTATCTATCTGTCTGTCTGTCTATCTATCGATCTATCTATCTATCTATCTATCATCTACCTAGCTAGCTAGCTAGCTATCTATCTATCTATCTATCTAACTTTAGATGCATGTATGTATCTATGCATGTATGCATGCATGGTTGTATGAATCCATGCATGTATGTATACATGTATGTTATGTATGCATGTATGAATGCATGTGGGCATGTATGTATGCATGTATGCATGCATGGAAAAATGAAGTCCAAGAAAATGACATATGTAACCCAATTTGTGGATATTCATGGCAACTTTGTAGTAGTGAAAATAAGGGTCCAAATCATTGGAATTTGGCAGTGCTCATTCTAGGACATGTCCACATTGGGCCGCTAATCCTCAATAATACACCCTCACACTCACATTAAAATGGTGATATCATGACTGAGGAGCTTGAAAAAGACATTTAAGGGAACAATCATTGAACGTCATGTGGCTGAAGTGGTAGATACTTTATATTTCTGTTAAGCTGGGTGCCGGGTAGTATACATGTATATATATAGCTTGCCCTCCAACTGATTATCAACCAAAATAGATATGGAAAACCCATGGTTTCCCTAGGAAATTATCTAGAAACATATGTGTTGATTTACTGGAGTGTAAATGATGGTTTCGCGAGGATGGGATAGTTGAGCCACGTCCATTCATCCCCAAACAATATGATGGCTTTGTCGGTCCGTGGACGAATACAAGGTGGTGCCCCTTAGCTATATTTTCGTTTACAACCCCATCTAAGTATAGTTCTAATCACCATAAACCCCAGTTAACCTAGTTATAAACCAACTTAGCAACTATGGGGCACCACCTTGTACCTTATACAGTACCTTTGCATGGCATGGCGTATATAACACTTATTGTGGATACACTGTAATATATTGTAGTATATGCATAATTCGATGGGATTTATATTCAGAGGGGTTATACGGTTGTACCAACCTCCATTTGCATGCAGGAAAGGTTCAATATACAACTAACATCCACTGTCTTTGGATTTGAAACTTAGTATTGTCAACAACAGAATAACTAAGTACTTTATCACTAGATTTTACAATATATCATGATATATATCTACAATTAGATGGGATACTTCAATATCTATATCTATCACCATCTAGTTGTCATATTCATCATGGAAATAATATTATCTGATGAGATATCATCCGTTATATTCTTTTAATTCTTTTATATCTATATTTAGATGGGATTATCTATCATTAGATGGGATAATGAATTATGAATTATAGATGATTGTTTCATTCGATGGATCATATTTGGATGGGATCATTATATAATCAAATAATTACATTGTTACATGTGATTTTCCCGTGAATAGTTGATCACAGCCATAAACCTCCCTTTAGTTTGGGGAATTCTAATTGCTATGTTTCATTACCGGAGGGCATGTTCCCTTTATAACCCAATTATTATCCGACTATTCTCCCTGTAAATCCGACTAAAAATCCGACTAAAAATCTATATAAATTCCTAAAAATCCCTATTAATCCCTATTACTTCCTGTAAATCCCTATTGAATTCCTATAAATCCCTATAATTCCTTTAAATCCCTATAATTTCCTATATGTAAATCCCTATAAAGCCTAAACATCCATCCGTCCACTCTCCAGGCACCTCGTTGTGCCGCCGTGGCTGCGCCAGGCAGCTGCGCGCTGCTGCAGGAGTAGGCGCGGCGCAAGTGACGCACCTCGCCACAGGGTTGGCATGAGAGGATGTAAAATATGGCACTTACCCTCTGGTAAATTAATAGTGGAAACTAGTCTTCCAATGGGTAAGTGCCATATTTTATAGTGGATTAATAGTGAATAGTTGGATTAACAGTTCGACCCTGAAAATGACCAATTTATAGTGGTTTTACTAGTCTTCCAACCCCGACTCATGGCAGGGTCGTCATGTTAATTTACTGGAGGGTATAAGGATCTATATATAGAGATAGCCATCATGTAGCCATCATATAGCCATTATATATAGAAAATCACATGTAATTATTCAATTATCCCATCGAAATATGATCCATCAAATGATCCAATCATCTATGATGTAATTCATCATGCTATCTGATGATAGATAATCTAAATATATATATAACAGAAGAAAATGGATGATATCCCATCAGATAATGTTATTTCCATGATGGATGTGATAACTAGAGGGTGATAGATATAGATATTGAAGTATCCCATCTAATTGTAGATATATATTACTGCACGATAGTTTGTAAAAATTATTGATAAAGTACTTATTCTGTTGTTGACAATACTAAGTTCCAATACAAAGACAATGGATGATAGTTGTATATTGAACTTTTCCTGCATGCAAATGGGGGTTGGTATAACCTCTCTGAATATAAATCCCATCGAACTATACATATGCTACAAAACTACAATATATAACAGTATCCACAATAAGTCCAAACAGTTGTCTTATATAAACCATACCATGAAAAGGTATAAGGTACAAGGTGGTGCCCCATAGTTGCTAAGTTGGTTTATAACTAGGTTAACTGGAGTTTATGGTGATTAGAACTATACTTAAATGGGGTTATAAACCAACTTATAACTAAGGGGCACCACCTTAAGGATCTATAGAGATAGTCATCATATAGCTACTAACTATAGATGTGGGATCATGAACCAATGTAGTTATATACTATCCCAACAGATGGGTACATACTATGACTATGTACATATTTGGGGTTTGGGGCTTATGACCCAAGAATATATATATATATGTAGCTATACCAACAATCCATATTCATCTGTATATATATATTATACTGTATATGGATTGATAGGGATTTTTTGGTGATCTATAGGGACAATAGTGGGAATTTCCAGCCATAGTTACGAAGACTTTCCCAGCAAACCTCCAGCCATAGTTTGTTCGGGGATTTCCAAAAGGCCACATGGCTGACTACCGGTATACACTTAGATGTCGTCTAATCATGAGATATGTGCTGTAGGTCGTTTTCTTTTCATGAATACATATTTACAGTGTATAAATAAATAAATATATAAATATATATTTATACATTCTACATGCATTTCTTTTTAGACATTTTATATAGTATACATACATAATATATTCTACTCACCTGAAAATCCGAGACTGTCACCAAATCAATGGGTAGAAGCACCAAATAGTTCCGGATTTGATCCAGAGATAAACGCGATTTCTATACAACAAGACTGGAGATATCCTGCAAAAAACATTCAAAAACTCAACAACTTGTTTCCCCAAAAACAGCAATCGGAATTGGGTATGGCATGTTCTCCTCGAACTGGACGATGGGAAAAATGACAAGAAACCTGCATATTTTGAGGGTAAAAAGCCTGGTTTCCCGTCAAGATGTTCCCCAAAACCAATCCATTGCATGTCTGTTTTCAGCGGTTTCCCACCATGACGTTGAGGTATCACCTCCAGCCCTCGAGAAACGCTGAAGTTGGGATAGTAATATCTGCAAAAGAAACCCTGAGAAGTGATCTGCTTTAGACTTCACCTTGTAACATCCAGCACCAAACATCATCAAACTAGCTTCCACTTTGCGAATGGAGAGCGACTAAATCCAGTAACTAGCTCATCTTCTGCTGCAACATCATGTTATATTCCCAATCAATCCAATCATCAATCCAATTCCAACCAGTTTGCATCAGAAATCCAATCTATCAAGCTGTTTCTTAGGCCCCCAAAATAAATGAAACCGTTCATTTTTAGGACCAAAAACTCAAAAACATTCTGCCGCCGCTTTCGGCTCCCGGCTGCGGTGCCTGTCGCTCCACCGCTTTGGGTTCCCATGGCGATTGCATCTTGGGCACTCGCTGATGCTTCAAGCGTAGCGCCCTCCAGGCGCGCATGGCGCTCTGCTGCGCTGCAGTGGGAAAAGTGCTGCCGGGAGGCTCGAAGTACAGCCTGCGGGGATGCCGGTTGGGGACTGAAGTAAACACTACATATGCGTGTATATATATATATATCATATATAATATATGTGTATATCATATATAACATATGTATATATATATATGTATTATATCATACATACATATATATATATATATCATAAAATATCATATCACATTATATCATATCATATCATATTATATAGTATATATAGTATATAGTAAATAGTATCTAGTATATAGTATATAGTGTATAGTATATAGTATATAGTATACGCAATTTGTACGCATATAATTTGATATCCAACTTATCTACATTATCTATGCTGTAGATACTGTACATTGTACACCACACATATCTGTACATCACGTTAAGACGTTCAAAATGGATTTAGATGGCAACATTCGCCTGGACATGTACACAGTGTCTGGGTTTCAAATGAGGGTTTCCATAGTCATGGGGGATCCCCAAAATAGTTTGTGTATGGAAAATCATTATGGATGATAACTGGTGGTCATCTCTCCCATTGGAAACCTCCAAATGGTTTCAACCAAAATCCTGTGGATCTTTGATTTTAGCGTACCAGGAAAAGTGAGAACAATCTCCAGCGTCCCGACAGCCTCAAAGCTTGATCAGAAAAAGAAACAGTTCGACGTGAGCAGTGATGAATTCTTCATCAGTCCACCATGAAACCATCAACCCATGAACCAACTGATCCAACTGGATCTTGTGGCAAGTTCTGCGAAATTCCCTGAGTCTTTGAATGTCATTGATTTCCGCATCTTTGGTTTAAGCACCACCTTCTAACTCCTACCAATTAAAAAAGAAAGAATGGTTTCTGCCAAGGTACTGGATGCCCTCCTCGATATCTGCAATGGCTTTTCGATGAAGCCTGCAACACAACTGGGACTCGAAGGGCTCGAAGGACTTCAATGGGAGATCTCCAGGATCCAACAGATGGAGGTACCTAAAGGTACCATTTTTCAGGCCATAGAAATTGGGGGTATATACCCTGAAATTAAGCTCTGAAAAATAGGCCTTATATATGGTAGGTACCTCCAATTTAGGATCTTGGAATGGCCATTGACTACAGATTCGAACCGCTTTTTTTTTCCTTGTACTGTTTCATCTTCATCGCTTGTTCCAGCAAACCATAGGTTGTTTACTAGAGTCTAACCGCTTTTCAATGCATGGATTGCATGGATGGGGCCAATCTAAAGGAACCATGGCTACCACCCATTTAATTGGTAGGTATTGATAGGTCATATGCAGGAATCCTCAACTAACACATCGATCACTGCCAGGTTTGTCAAGTTGTTCCCTTTTCTTGCACCAGTGTTTCTGCCTGTTACTTTTTGTTGATCAAAGAACAAAGACAGAAGGTATACGGTATACACCATCAGTGGTTCTGGCTGCCCATGAAACATGCGTTATTGGCCCAACAATGTAAACATTTCCACTGCATGTTCACCAAGAATCAATAAATGTCAATCATATCCCCAAAAATAGATGGTCAACAAAAAAGTGGTTTTAGTGAATGAACCGCTTGGGAACTAATGCAACATCTAAAGTGTTCTAAAGTCATCGACGAAAAGCAAATCCAAGGCGCTGTTCAAAGGCGTAGTTGCACTGCATCACCAGTTCACTGCTCACCAAGGAATCCAGACTTGGTGCCTCCTGCATTGGACGTTGCAAATTGCCCCGATATGTTTTTCAGTTTTCGAAATAGTCGAATTATGCCATCATGAATGTACCATAATGTATCATCGAAAGATGGGAAAGGATGGGAAAGGAACAATCCGACAGAATCCGCCACCAAACTTTACTACGATTTATGTATATATTTACCTATCTTTTTGGCGATTGCTATGTATGGCTTTGCCCAAAAATAGGGCACCAAAATCTGGAGCACCCCGAAATCTATCCACTGGTTGATCATCATGTTCCGCAAAATCATTGTGGCTGTTTTTTGTGGTTTCCAATTTCCAGGTCCAAACCCAGTTTGGTCATATCCTATTGTTGGTTGAATATTACAATTATCTATCTTATTCTCTATCATATTGAACTATCCCCCATTTTGATGGGTTGAATTTTGACGCCCTATGTTTGTTGTCTGGAACCCCTATATGGGGATGTGTCAAAGCCCCCGCTTCAAAGCCCCCGCTTCTGTTCACATCAAAAAAGATGTTTTATAATGTCCCCCTAAAAATGCTGATCCATAGCCAATATTTCCAATCCATGGATGTAACATTAGTCGACTTGTTTAGAAACAACAGTGGCTTTGTTATACTTCATTTTCAAAGAAACCCATAATGTCAACCCTGGATTAATAAACCCCTAGGCTGTTCAATTGGGAGTGTACCATTTAAGTACCAGATTATGACTATTGGAGGAGTACCCCCCTAATTTTCATCAACCATGGTTTAGCAAAATCCGGGGTTGACATTAGCCATAAAGAGACTAACAACTTTGGTGCGGCATCCCCCAATGGTCCGCCCCCGTCTCCAGCTTCGTCGCCGTCTCCAGCTTCGTCGCCCGCGGCCGCGCCGGGCTCGCCGCCGGCGTCGTCCACGCGGCCTTCGGGGCCGCCGCCGTGCTGCCGGACGGCGGCGCAGGCCCCGTCTCCGCGTCAGAGTCCTGGCGCTTGGCCGGTCGAGGTGGACAGCATGGAAAAAATGGGAATGACAAATGTTCTCATTGTAGTATGCCTATTATTAGTGTTAAAGTTATGATTAGCAATCATCTTTTCATAAAATCAATCTGACTATTAGTGTATATTCGTGTTATTTGTTGAACCCTCTCAATGCTGTCCTCTATCAACCCCTTCACCTCGCAGCCTAGCAGTTCACTCGTACGCTTGCGTACCTCCAGGGGATCCCATTGGAAGGTCGAGGTCCCTCCAGGCCTGCCAGTCGTCATCTGAAAATCAGATGACCAAAAGGGTCCGGACCTGAAAATAGGCTACCCCCAATTCCAGTGGATGGAATTAGATATAAATGATATAAAACCTCATTGTTTCCCGATCATTTGATGGCAATCTGGGGATATCCCCTATTTTCAGACAAACTCAAAATGGGCCAAGTGGGCTTTGCATTTGAGGTACCGTCAGTGTCTGTGTTCTCCAAAATTAGGCACACATCACGTCAACAAAAAATTCATGGCGAGCACAATTCATGAAGAGATCCAGTACCAAATCTGGCTCTCGTTTGGGGGGTCTTCAATACGTTTGGGGGATGGGATTAGTTCAATAACATTCAATAACATGTTTTTTTAACAGGAAGTGATGATGAGTAACTCACCAAAAAACCATGGTTGTGCCTGATTTGTTCTGTTGTGCCGACTTGCGAACCAGGGATATTTTTTGCCGCACAAACTGGGACCGTCACAGAATCTCTATCATGGCAGGGGCTCTGAATTCCAGGATCAACGGATCAGCTCATGATGTATCCAGCACTGTGGAGACATAGCGAAGCCTGGTAATTAACCTGGCTGTCCCTATTCATATCTACTCGACTCATCCATTGATGCCAGTACCCAGCCCTCAAGTTGCAGACAAAACCCCATGCGGTTCTCCCGAAAACAGTGAAGTCTAAAGCCCATTTGTAGATTGGGAAAATAAGAATAAATAAGAATGATTGAAACCGCTTTATAATCGGTTTAATGTAGTAAACCCAATAATAAACCACCAGTCTTGCAGGGTTTCTACCACCCCCCCACCTGGTGAAATTGGGGGTGGTTGTCGTTGGGATCACATAATTGGTGACATACCCAGCCCTTATTTATGGTAGTTGTTCACATCCCCCCTGCAGTACCCAAGCGCCTGCCCTTGAGGCTCAGTTGCTGTTTCCACTCACGGAATTTGATGAACTCGCCACGCACCTCGGGTATCACAAGCCGTGTCCATGTCACCTTGCCTCTGGATAGAAACAATCCAAACCAACTTTGTTGGGCGGTCGGGGCGAATCGCCTCCGCTGAAGTCGTTGGAAGTCATTGGGGCTATGGCATCTATGTCTATGGTTGTTTTTGGGCCCACTTCCAACTATTTTCGGTGCGGCTGCCACGGCAAAAACACTGTTGCAAACCAAACACATTCCAGACATTCCAGACCTCCAATTCTGGTTCTCTAATGTCAAAGGGGCGTTATACAGGCCAAAGGACCTAACAGAAATTGTACCAAAATGTACAAGGCAAAATCGTTCATCTTCAGTGCCTGTAGATTTTGGATCCATACAATACTTGTTCCAGGTGAGGAGCTACGGCATCAAGTGATGTGCAAACCTTGAGGTAAAGCCTTAGGAAAGAAAAAAAGGAATGTCCAAACAAAAGTAGGATACTGTACCTGCAAATCTCATGATTTCGAAATTTCAAAAATCAAAATAGCGTTTTTTGGCCCATCCGCACCCAAATATCAAGTTCTTTCGACTTCCCGGCTTCCCGTCCCCTTTTTGTTGTCCCCAACATGCTGAGATTTACATCATCCAACCCCTTTCCAAATGCCGCGCCGCCCGCAAGAGGTGGCCTGGCGCGAAACCCCAGCTGAGGGGCCGTTCTGTATAGGCAAAAAACACGGTTGCTTTAGAGTCCTTTAGAGTTATTTATCAAAGTGCGGTTGTTTAATTGAACTTTTTGGGGTTATTGATCAAACTTTAGGGAGTTATTTATCAAACTTTTGGAGTTGTTGATCGGCCCAATTTTGGCCAGATTGTGGATTCCCAGGAGTCAGCTGGAGGTCAAATTTGGATCGTTTTTGGAGCAGTTTTTGATATTTTGTGTGGGTCATGTTTTGGGTCATGTTTTGGGTCATGTTTTGGGTCATTTGTTTGACCAATTGTTTGAACAAAGGTTACCTTTTGTCTCTGGGGGAAGCAACATGTGAAAAACAACACTATCATCTCCAATTTGGAAATCATAGAATCAGGTTTTCTACATTCAGAATTCAGAATGAATCTATGAATGATGAAGTCGTTGATGAATTTGCCAATTGTTGTTCATTCGCATGATGCACTGAGATCTTGTTGTTGCCAGACGCATTTTCAATGGACACATTGGAGTAGTGATCATCTAACTTCTTGTAAATCTACTATCATTTGCTGTTTTGGGATTTATCGCCAACCATTATGATTTCTCATGTTTTCTCATGATTTTAAATTCCAGTAACCTATAGACCCTGCCAAATGGGGGTTGGAAGATTAGATTCCACTACAAATGGGCTATTTTCAGGGTCAAACACTGAATTGAAAGGAGGGTTTTTCACCGTGGCACCCCTGCAGGCCTGCCACGCGTTCTCCCGGCCTGGCCGTACATGTGGCAAACCGCCGCCAAAGTGAGGTAAAATGATGTTATATGGCGAGGGGAACTGGATTCTTGAAAAGCAACAAACAAATGATTGAAAAGCATGTGTTCTGCACAACCACCCATCCCATAGTATCAGCTGGGTTGGTCTTTGAACAACACAGCGCAAAAAGTGCCAGTCTATATTGGATAATTCAAAGATGGAAAACAACAAAGTTGCCATTTCCAAAGAGGACAATATATCATATAATAGGGGGATGGGTCAAAACCCCAAAACCCTGTACCCCTGGTGAACATATTCGAATAGCTGGTCAACGGGAGTTCCATCCCCGGATTTCTGGGCATGGATCCCCATAGCCTCTGGTAAACTAACAGTTTGCTATTGAAAATGGCCATAGAAATAGTGAGTTTTCCCATTAATAGCATGGTGATTTTCCATAGTTATGTAAACGTTTACCAGAGGGTAGCCATACAAGTATCTTGGTAACATTCTGGATCCACCAGTGACCATTGCCCTCATCCCAGCTCCATGCGCTACATGCCCACCTGCGTTGTAGCTGTGGAGTGTGGCGGGACGGTGATTCCGCCATGGCTCAAGGATTGTCATCTGAAGCCACTGGACATGCGGCTGCTGCAACTGGAGTTTCTATGTTCCAAAGACCTCAGAATCAGAAATGAAGCCCCCAATGTCATCTAGTTAAATGTTAAATCACATCTAAAATCACCTTGTCAGAAGGCACTGCAAGGAAAATCCGGCTCACTTCCATAACTTTCAGGATTCCCATGGAAGGATTCCCTGAAGCTCCATGTTGCCACAAGTGCTCCCTTGAGCACGATCAGCCACGGGATGCCACGTTGGGGCATGCTGAAAAGGCATGGTTATGGCATGGTGGCATCATTTACTATACCTACCATCTGGTTATGACATTCACAGTTTGCCATGGAAAGATCCACCATTTTTAAGTTCGGTAAACCATCTATTTCTATGGGTCATCTATACCATGGCTATGTTGAATAACCAGAGGGTAATTGGGCCATTTTGAGGCGACATCTTGAGAACATGTCCAGCCTCCGGGGCCAACCACAGGAGGACCAGCCGAATTTTTGACCCGAGCGGAGTGCAACATCTCGCCACGGAAATGGGCAAAAGTGAGCAACGCTACGCTTGGTGGTGCCCCAGTTAGCGACCTTGGTTTACAACTAGATTTACTGTTGACAATTTGTGTATTTATCTAATATCATCTATATATACATAGACATAGTTGGATTATGAACTAACTTTGAACTGGGGGGGCACCACATTGTAAGGATTTGAGCTTGTCCAACCATCGGGCTTACTGGGGTACCCAAACATAATGACAATGGGAAAAATGATGATAACCCATATCATAATTTTGGTGCGCACTATTTCTAGACCGACCCATTTAGGAAAATGCTCAGAATATGAGAGAACCAAGAGCAAACACCATGCTGGCTTTAGAGCTTGCCTACTACCTACTATTTTTTGGGCTGTAACTTTGATCCCGTTTGCGCACGATCTGTCTTTGGGACCAGACTTCGTGCGCAAATTGATGCAACTGACACAAATGTCTGAACAGTTTTCAAGTTTCGAAAAAAATATTCAATTTTTAAATTAGGTCAGTATGAGATGAATCCCGTTCCTAACCATCATTTCTAGTGTTCAGTGAGGTCGTTCTTCTCCATCCACATATTTACATATATAGATATACACATATCTACATCAAAAAAGAAATCCATCAGTTGGGTCCGTAAAATATTAATGGGGCCATGGGATTCCAATTGGGGGCCAACCCTCTGTTAGGTCAGTGGATTTCAAAACCCTCTGCCATTTCATGTATACTGGTTGGTTAAGAACAGGATTCCCCACTTCTCAATTGAGTTTGAAGGCGTCATGATCGTCATGGACAACTTTCAATAACTCGGGCAAATGATGGAACATTTCACGGGGAAAACAGAGAACAATCCCTTCTTATCATTTGTAAGGCTTAGGTGGCGCACCACAAGTATGCTCATCACAGTTGGCTGCATGGAAAATAGAGAAAAATAGTACAAAATAAAAAGAAATATACATATGAAAGCATAGGATGCCATAGAGAAAAATAATTCCACATAATATCAAATAAAAAACATCTCAACAAATAAAACAAATAAACACCAATATCATAAAATAAAAACATATATCAAAAGATATGAACATATTTCATCGACTATCATACTACTATCAGAACAAAGTGCAAATGAAGGGGTCGGCCCCCTAGAAGGAACTCTGCCCAATGCTTTCTTAGTTTTGGGTTTGGGAAGAAATAGTGAAACACAAATAAACTCAAAATAAGCAAGCCGCATTTTTTTTTCAGCATCTGAGACCGCATAAATGAATGTGTAGCCTAAACAAATTACCTTTATTTAACCAGTGAAAAAGACTTCAATATCTGCGACCTCCATAATTGACCTGTAGTCTACATTAATATGTCCTTCAAAAAAAGCAAAGGTATTTCAAAATCTAAGCTCCATGATTCGATTTGTAGCCTACACAAGAACTAAGCAAGTGAAAACCTGGGCTCCCCTAATTGGATTTGTAGTCTACAATGGAAAAAATAAAAACATA